TGGTATGTGTGTTTGTGATTATAGTGGTGGCATGGTTAGCAAACATAGAATTCCTGATGTGGATATTGCTTCTTGGACACAGTAATTGGTGTTGTTGTCCTAAGATGTATTGTGATTGGTTCCTTTACAGCTTTGCTGAGCAGAAAAGTTCTTCATGTAGATTCTAGGGTCAGAATTGCTTTTAATTTTCTGTGCACCAGCTTTTACATCAAATATTTTTTTCACATGTAGAGTCTGGTAGGAACCTACAGGATACACATTCAGTACAACATCATCAAAGATGGTCGTAGCTGATAATTTTGAAATTAATAGTTTCTGAATCAGGATTGGCAAATATAAGTAAACAATGTGATCTCAGTGCTGCAGTTATATTTATCATAGGAAACAACTGTCTCTGGGGAGGGATCAGGTGCTTTCCATTGTACACCATCTTATTGAAGATCAGGTACTTTAAAAGTCACAAATGGAAGAACACAAAAATTGCATCAGAAAACACAACTTCTGCAACTTCGTATGTGTCTGCCAGCACTACTCATATTTATTATACTATTCAGTTTCTAGAAGATAACTTATCATTGAATATTCAGTTAGATGTTTAGTATAGTTGCTTGAGTAGTATAAATTTGAGGTATTTAGCATTGCATGAGATTGAATTCAAGCTTCTTACCTACACACTTGGATTTTTTATCTGTAAACCAGATTTATACTTATCTCTGTAGTTGCTTCCGCATGTTTAAGGAAGAACCTAGGTTATCTTCTTGCTGATGCTAACAGATACTGCTGCTGAGATAGAATAAGGTATTTCGCCAAGTCTTCAAGAGTGGCTGCAAGGAACAGGTCAAATCTGAAGCTTTATTGAAAAAAATAAACTGGCACTGTGCTGGAAGTGAACGCAAGATTTTTAAGCTGCCTGAGAGACAAACAGTCCTTAAGATGCTGTTCTGTATGCAGCAGATTTATTTTGCATGGGAGGAAATAGTTCTCATGTTCTGCTTCCCTAAGAAGCAGTCACACTCAGGCCCCTCGGATATGAGAACGCGTTCAGCAGTGTTTACAGTTTTTAAGTTAACTTTGGATCTGGTGCACCTGGAGGAAAACCAGAACAGAGCATGAAAAGAAGGAAGATTCTGAACATAGCAGATCTACACCAGGGTAGGGACAGTCTCTAGTACCAGTACAGACTGGGTGAGTAATAGGTTGAGAGCAGCACTGCAGAGGACAACTTGGAGATACTGGTAGTATGAGCCGAGTACACTTGCAGCCCAGGAAGCCAGTTATCCAGAGCTAGCCAGCAGGTTGAGGGAGGGCATTCTTGCCCTGCGCTCTGCTCTCATGAAGACCCGACCTGGAGCATCCAGACTGTCCAGCTCTGGGGTTCCCAGTACAAGAAAGACATGGACCTGTTCACAGTGGATCCGGAGGAAGGACACAAAAATTGTCTGAGGGTTGGAACACCTCTGCTAGGAAGAATGGCTGAGAGAATTGGGGTTGTTTGTCTTGGAGAAGGGAAAGCCCCAGGGAGATGTCACCGCAGCCTTCCAATACCTGAAAGGTGCTTATAAAAAGACAGAGGAAGACTTTTTACCAGGGCCCATAGCAACAGGACCAAAGACAATGTTTTTAAACTGAAAGTGAGTAGATTTAGATCGGATAAAATGATGAAAGTCTTTACTATGAGGTTGTCCAGAGAAGTTGTGGATGCCCCATCCCTGAAAGTGTTCAAAGTTGGGTTGAGTGGGACTTTGAGCATCGTTTCAAGCATTTAGTTTAGTGAAAGATGGCCCTGCCCAGAGCAGGGGATTGGACCAGATGATCTTTAAAGGCCCTTCCAACCTAAATCATTTAGTAATTCTGTGATCTAAAATGTGCAGACAGAGGAGCATTATCAGTGAAGTCACCTATTTAGCTAGTAGAGCATGTCCTCAAACAAAAACTTCTTCTGCGCCTGGTTCTGCTGCAGACATACTCCGCAATCCTGGCTACTAGCAGATTAGGAGAAGACCTGCCATAACTGACCTCCCTTAGCTTTGAAACATACTCTCTCAGCATTTTTACTCAGTAACCCATTAAAATCTTTAGGAATAGTCTTAGTAAAGGGTTTTTCAGGAGAGAAAAATAAATAAAAATAAAAGATTAATTTCAAATTGCAGCAGAGTCAGTCTTCCTGGGATTAATAAGTAAGTACGATTTTTGTATTTCTTCTTTGGACAAAGTCACTGCCCATGACTAGAAAGGATCCTTTCACACAGTTTCTGAACACCTCTCCTGAGAGTTTGCTGATCAGAAATTGTTTCTCTTGTTGTAAACGTAGGTCTCGTAGACAAAGTAGCAACCAAAATGCATTAAAATGTCGCCTGATCTTACAAAATTTTCTACTTCATGTTGGGTTTACTGGCTCAGTAAAGTGTTCACATTTCAGTGCTGGATCTGGCTTAGCTTTCTCTTGTTGTACATGTTCTGAAGCTGTAGAAAACAGTTCTGTTAATCTTGGAATTATCTTTTTATTTTCTAGGAAAGAATAAGCTCAATTGTTTCTTTTCAAATTGAGCAGATTCACAAAATTAATAGATAAAATATTTTCTGACTGCACAGGTACTTAATTAGCCGTGGTTTTGCCCCTGTTGCAGATGAACTTCCTGGATACTTTTTCTGGGTCAGGCTGTTACCTACTATGTGGGCATTTACTCCAGCACTTTGTTCACAGCTGTGAGTAACAGCAAATAATCAAAAAAAGAGCTTAAGTATGAAGCATTCATAAAATTAACTCCTGGTATACTTCCCCACCTTCCAGTAAGCCTCATTTTAGGAATTTTAGCTTCAAGCCTGTATGCAGATCATTGTATGAAAGCTACCATGACTATGATCCCATGAGGAGGTACCAATGTCACTACCTTCAGTAAGCTTGTCTAATCCCTTTTGAATGTGTTATACTAGCAGTGGCTGAGCAATTTTCAGGACCTGGCTTTTTCTCACATAATTCACTTTTATCTTAACTAGTTTCCTATTAAATGCTTTTTGCTTAGTGCACATAGTAAATTATCTTCATGAAATAAGCAATGTTCACATCTAAATAGCACGCTAAAGTATGTCATGGCCCATTGAAAACATTTTTCTGTATTTTGGAGATTTATCAGAGTAGCTGCAGTGACGTATGGCCTCGTAACTTCAATAGTACTGAATTTGAAATGAGAAAGCCCTCGGTGAGCACAGGGAGATCCAGGTACTGCAGGAAGTGCAGTGAGCAGGTGATAAAGTGAAGTATTTATTTCTGTTTTTAAGCTTACACTGACCTGTCTCTAAACTGTCCCTGAGGCACACCGGTGGCGATGAGTTCTTTATGAACTCCAGTCCTTAAACAGTTCCATGGAGTTCTGCAAAGGAGGTGAGACCCTACTTGACTACACTATGAAAGACGTATTAGGCTCAATGACCTACAAAAGCTGATAGGTTAAATTATCAAGGCTTTAACAATATTAAAAAGAAAACAAATACCTAGATGGTTTTCTAATTCAAACCATATGTGAAACTGCTCTGCTGTGTTAAGTGATCACCCGTTTTTACCTTACGAGCACAAGGACTGAAGTGTTTCTGTGTGTTGTCAGATTCTGTGTGTCCTCTGGGATGGAACATGCTACTGTGTGCTAGGATCACACTACACTGTATCAGACTACACTGAAATCATCATAGAAGGAAATTCTACATTGAAGACAGCTATGCCATTGTCCAGGGATTGTGCCTTTGCTTCCTGGCAGCTTTTGAAATGAACAGTCCTTTTCAGTAGCAAATGAAAATGAAGTATAATTAGAGATACTTTTACTTACAGGTTAACATTATCAAGTAGTTGTGCTCAGTATGTTTGAAGCTTCTCGTAGTGCTTGATTTGGCTACTGGCATGGTCAGTTCTACAATTTGCTTATGCAGTTTCATAGTGCTACACAGCCCAAGAGTTGAGCTCATTATTGCTGATTGCCAGTCAGTGTAGAGCAGCAACATGAGAAACGTTGCTTGGACAGTCAGTCCTAAGACTTGGATACTTATGCCAACAGCAGCCAAGCAGAATTGAAGCAGAAAAGGAAAATAATGGTCACACTGGAAGTAGAATTACATGGGTTTCGTGTTGCAAAATGCTCTAGACAAAGATTCCTGTTTTTTTCAGGAGTGGGTATTTAGCTTCTGTTTAATATATGCCCTTTAAGGTGAATTTTAAACAAACCAACTGCTTTTAGGAAAACAACAAACCAAAACCGATCCTGTACTCACTGTAATGGGAATCTCAGTTCCTTGGTAACAGTGGGAGAATCAAATCCCTTAGACAGAGTTGCTTTTAGGAAAACAACAAACCAAAACCGGTCCTGTACTCACTGTAATGGGAATCTCAGTTCCTTGGTAACAGTGGGAGAATCAAATCCCTTAGACAGAGTTATCAAGTGAGAGCTGGCACTGCCTGTCAGCTGCCTGACTTGAGCATTTCAGAGGATAACGATGGACAAGGTAGTGCATGAAAAGTTCAGTGTGCTGTGTCCTGTGTCAACAGAAATAACTTTAATGTGGACAAGGATGCCTAAAAAACTTGTGAGATCTTGCATGAGCACATAATGTTAATGTAATAATATCTAAACCCTGCTGTCATAGTAGTATTTATTTTTATATAGCTGGTCAATCCAGCAGATAACCTTTGTATGTCTGAATAGCATAGTAAAAATCTGTGAGGAAATGTAGTTGTTTGAGGTGAAATAGCTTACTTTTTACATCTACCAATCCTTAAACTTTGGTTATATTAATCATACTTAATTCTTAGCCTTGATTTACATCTGTTTTAATGATGTTTGATAGTGGACGTTGCATCTATCAACCTGTCTTTTTCAGCCTTAAAGCACAGACTTCAGGAATATCCTTGAACCAGATCCCTGACACTCTCAGTTATTTGAAGCAGTCATGATTCTCTTTGACCTCCATGCTTTAGGAATGACATTAAAACGAATTTTCATTTATAGACTTTTCATTGGTCTGTTTCAGATTTTGCAAGAGCGAGGTTCCAGGATGTGAAGACAGTATTGAATGGTGACAATTTTTTTCTCTTTTATTCCAAGACACAGTGAATTGTCACACTGAAGAGGCTCGGCTGCAAAAGAAAAAAAATCTGATTTAGACAATACTCTGTTGATCTGGGTTCAACCATTTTTGCCTATAAGCTGGTGTCAACTGGCTGAAAGCATTGCGAGATTACCTTATGGGAATAGATGGTGTGGGAGTGTGTGTTAAGTTTTGGTTGTAGTGCATGGTTGTACTCTCCTGTGGGCTGACAGACACTGGTCTTTTGAAATGACCATGCACTCATATTTTCCTCTGAGAGATGTAGCACTTGATGTCTGGTGCTGGATGACCCAATGTTGATCAGTTTGGAGACATTTTCCTACTAATCATTGCAAACATTTAAAGGACAATGTAATTGGTGCTACACACACATTACAGCCCACAAATGCAAATATTTGGGGTCTACATTGTTTCAGAATCAGTGGCAGCCCCAGTTGACTGTGTTATACTGCACATTCCTTATGGCTTTGTGACATACTCTATAATGTAATAACAGTCTAGGAGATCAACTGAAACTAGCATGTAAAAAGTTACACAGCAGACAAGAGGTTTCTCTGAAGGAAGGGTGTATATATTGACTGGATTAATAGCATATTTTAATGCCCAAAGGGAAGACTAAACTCAGAAAATGGCCTTAATCTGAGTTATTCTTGATGTTCCTTCTGTTGAAACAGTCTCCTCCTGCAAAAGTTATGCTCCAGTCTTAACCAGATGTTTGGAAAGGGAATCAAAATTCACTGAAAATGAACAACTGAACATTTTGTTTCTTTTGAGATGTTTGTACCCATATGTGTGTTTGTGCTTTCATGAAATGCCTATAAGCAATGAATTCTGTGGATTGTGATAGACATTTTTCAAGAGCTGGAGGTTGTACAGAAATATGGCTGGCTAGTTCTAGATCCCTCTCTCTGCGAGTGGGGTTAAAGTCAACCTTGAGTGTGAACACAGAATCATCCCATTGAAAAGCTTAAATACATCAGACATTCAGGATACCTGTAACCAACCTTTCTCTTTCTATACTGTTTGAACTATGCAGTTAAAGGACACCGAAAATAGCTGGTGCAGCTTTATTAGTTTGTCCTTGATGAAAGTTAATACACAAGACTGGAGCTTTTTAATACACTATGTTTTAAGCAAAATCTTTAGCACATCTTTAAAACACTTAATGAAATAGTATAAAACTCAGCTTCATTGACTTATGAAAGCAGTGGGAGTTTCAAAAAGCTACAAGATTGTTTTGAATTCTAAAGGTGTTACCGTTTCCGTTGTCAGTAACTTCAGAATTTAGGTGTCTACTCTAGGTAATCCTTTACACAAATGCCTGATTTCCAAACAGCCAGGCTCTTGGCTCTTTGAGATGGTTTGGGTTTTTCTTTTTTTGTGGTTATTCTGGTTGGTTGGTTGGGGTTTTTTGTTTGTTTGTTTGGCTTAGTTTTTGTTCGTTTTTTTTTTTTTTTTAAGGACTTCTTATACATTGATAAAAGTTTGGCAGAAACGATTTGTAAAAACCATTTCTACTAAGCAGATTAAGCAATGGGCTGAATGTTTTGTCCATGCGTCTAATGCTTGAAAGAGTTTGTAACACATTTTTCAACTTGGATGTGGTCTGCACAGGAAGCTGCTGGCCCCTCCACAACAACACAGACAGTGTTTGTCTTTTTTTTTAAGATGTTAAAACTGAATTGAATTTACTAAAAATGTAATTGTGTAGGGGGAAATGTTTATACTTTTATACTTTTTTAGGCACCCATATTTTATCAGCTTGAATTGAGCACTCAAATTTCCCCGAAATAGTAACAGATTATCTTGTGTATCTGAAAATAAGCATAACAGTTGTCTGTGTTAACTGCATATTAAAACATTTCCTCTGCTGCAGTAGTCACCGTGTTTTTAAGCAATATGACTCCACTGAATTCTCTGAGCTCCCAAGCTCATGGAATTGCAGCCAACCATGTTTCTTGTTGTTTTCTTGATGTGCTCTACAGAGTAATATGGCATTGGCTGAAGTGGATTTTAATGCCTGAAATACCTGTTTTGCAGTGCTCCTTCTGGATCAGCATTTCTGTTGTCTCTCTTATTTAACCCAAAAGAGACAGAATATTTTCTTTCGTACACTGAAATTTTCCAGAATGACAGCAGCAAAGCATGAGTAACAAACTGAGCAAACTGAACAAATGTAGAATATGTAAAAGAGTGGGCTTTTCTAGGTGTATTTTTTTTCCCACTGGAGTATTTTCAGTTTAAAAACATGCTTTTACAGTGAAATTACCTGCAGTCTAGTTTATATTGTGTCCCTGTTGTAGCAAATTTGGGCAAATGAGTGGCTAATCATTTTGCACTTTCTTTCCAATACCTCACAAGGATGTTAAGAAAGAAAAAGAAAACAATTAATAGGCAGGTATCCTGCAAATTATTTAAATATGCTGTTTGAGACCGCCTGAACTAACCGCTTTTTTGTTCTTGCTAATGTCATTATTGCTTTAATTTTTGTGAACATGTAGAGCTTTCAGATCAATAGAAGTGCTACCATATGCCTTCTTCAAGGCATTAAGAATTAATCCCTAAGTTTGGTTTCCTTTTATTTGACTATTGTAATTTCAAATAAAGCTAGCTATAGTAACGAGGTAACTGCATGAGAGTCCAGTCTACATCACCAGGTTTTGTAAACATTGCTTCATCTGTTAAGATCTTGCAGGATGAGGTGATGTACTGATACAGCTTAAACTGGAGTCCTTTGTTTCTTTTCTGTCATTTGAAGAGTAGTTACTTCAAGAGAACTGCCTATGACTGTGTAAAGCTGATGGGTTCATAGATGTACTGTGGAAGCCTGTGATGTGAACTCTGGATTTACACAGCTCCTGTATTCTTGAATCAGTATTCTAGGTTAGAATTTAAGATCCTGAGCACAAAGAGATCATAGCAGAAGAAAATAAAGCAGGAAGGAAGAGATACCAAAACATAACAATTAATCAGGGTGACCCCTGATGGAAATGTAAATTCTGTGATTTAACTTTCTAGGCTTTTGCTATATGAATATTCAGTGATGTTCTTTGGTGTGTTGTCCATGGAACAGGAGGTTACTTCAGCACGTCATTTTCAGTGAAATTCCTTAAAGGCTGTTACAAACTTCTTGCAAAACTTGTTTAAAAAACGAGAGGTTCAAATTTGCCATAGCAGTTTCTTGCTTTGAAGAAGCAAGGAAACGAGTAGCATACTGTTGGCTGTAAGCTTCATCAGAGGCTCGTTTTCTGTACTGGTGATGATATTTTTGTATTAAATGCTTTTGACTTCTTCAAGCAGCAATCAAATCAGGGCTTATCTGCAATGAATGAGTCATCCTGAGGCCTCCAAGACGTGAATGGCATCTGGCCCATAATAACTGTCCAAAAGTATAGTCTGACCTGGCAGCTCACACAGTAAATGTGAAAGAGATTATTTTATGTTTTTTTTTTTTTAACCAAAAGACAAGAGGTTACATGGAATTTCCCCTCACTTCCTGTGGGGTCACCATGGATTATGTGCAGTTTGTTATCCTGCAGTAATTTATTGTCTGTCAAAGGCCTGATTGTATTTAAGAGCTTATATTAATTCTCTACTAAACTTTCATCCCTGAGAATCATATACTCAAAAAATCTGGACAATTTACTGTGGTTTTTTTTTCCAAACTCAGGTTTCTTGTGATGATGAAGGTTCCTTTTGTCTTTCATTGTAGCATTAGTAAAAGATATTTTTTAAGAAACTGAGTTTAAAGTCTCCATCCACCTTTTTTTTCTTCAAGTTTTCCTTACAGGAGCTGTATTGCTCCCTTTCTAGCAATGTGAATGCACAGTTATGGCTGATTAGAAACAGGACTGTTTCCTGAAGGTACCAAAATTGAATTGGTCTCCTCTTTCTCCGAGAGAGTTTCATTGGTTGGGCCTTCTTTTCAGGAGAAAAAACATCTAGCAGATAAAGCAAACCCCCTGACTGCAGGTGTGCTGAGGGAACTGCTGCTCAGGACAGAACCCTGCTCTTTGAATACCTGTTGGTGAAGAGTTGTCAGTCTCTTTTTGAGCTGTACAGCCACCACCAGCAAGTTAACATACATTAATTGCAAACTACTATTTTTATTAGTATTAAAAAAATGAGCTTGGAATGCAAAACCGCAGTAGTATCTGGATGAATGAAATGACCTTAGAAACTGGATTATAATGCGTACTGTCCGGTCGTGCAGGTGTACTGAAAGAGATTCCTTCAGAAGTACTGAGACAAAAGTGAAGTACTGGGCTTTTCATGGAGATGAAAGTAAGTGAAAGAGAGCTTGTCCACTTGAGATGCGATAAAATCAGAAAGTGTCACTCTCCTATTTTATTCTCTCACCACATCAAAAGCATCTTTCTCAAGTTTTTCAAATTAAATTCTTCAATCAGCCCTGAAAGGTGGGGCACTTGCAAAGAGAGGAGATTTTGTTACACCTTTAAAAGTACTTGGTAGCTCAGGATGGGAGGAGTAAAACTTCCTGGCTTAACCCTACTGTGGTCATGGGACAGTTGTCTTTTCTAACACAACAATTTTGAAATACATACGGGCTGAGAATTCTGCCTGTTGCTTCATTACAGCTGAAACTGCAGTTATTTCCAGCTTGAAGGACAATGTCAGGATCTTACCTGGGTTTGTGTTGTAGGATTATAGATTCTTAAAATAGTGTAAATATTCAGTTTAAAAAAAGAGAGGTGGAAGGCTCTCTGAAATCAGTGGCATATAACTTTCCTTTGGCTCACAACAATCAGGATCTGTCTTTAAAGGCTTCTTACTGAACTGAGGCTTTAAAGGGCTAAGTAGATCTTACTGTTCAGTTTTCTTAAATGAGTGTCAGATAGAGGAACTCTTTCCATTTTCAGTGCAGAAATGCTAAGGGCTAAAATCCTTTCCAGGGCTAATCTGAAGTTCCGGAGACACATAACGTTTAAAAAGCAGCTGCTCTGGTTTTCTTTCAACTCACAGACTCCAAATCATTACAAATGGCTGAAGCAGTTGCAGATACAAGTGTTCATGTATGGTTTGGAATTTCAGTACCCAGGTTGGTCAGAGAAGACAGTACACTTGCCCAGCACTTTGTTATCGCCCGTGCTGAAATCTGACAACTGTCATGAACAGCACTGGTGACGGAGACCTTGAGATGATTCTGCCCCAGGAAATCGTTGCTGAATACTGCATTGCAGCTTAGCTGCCCTTTACTTTAGCAAGGTCTGCTGAGGCATAAACTCAAAGGTCCTGTGAATAGATACTGCTGCAAACATAGTTTTCTGGGCCCATCAAAGGGTTCTTTTTAGGATGTTGTGTGTTAGTAACTGCTATAATGAGAGAGACCTTTCAGAAAGTTATTTTGCTACTTTGGGGGTAAAGAGACCTTAGAAAGCTGAGCCTAAATTTTGACCTGACCTGGCACTTGTTGAGATTTCCAGGTCTGGACATCTGAAATGTTAAGAGTTAATGTATTTATGTGCATGATTCTTGCTCCTTCTGAGGATTTTCCAAAAGCTTATGAATAGCTTTACTCAAACTTAACTTGGCTCGTGTACTTGCTAGGATGAAGCGAGTGCCAAGGCACTGTAAGAGAGATGTTGCAGCCTGTCTACCTGAAACTGAAACAAGGTTTCGACAAGGTTTCTACCTGAAACTGAAACAAGGTCACCAAACTGAAGGAGCCTCAAATGGCAACTATTTCCACCTGCTTCCATCCTAAGCCTCATCTGAGCCTTCCTATGGGAGAGCTATTTCCCATGGACTCTCTAAGCCCACCTACCCAATTCTGCAGATGTTATTTGTTTTTTTAAACTCTTCTCAAGAGTCACTGGTCTCAACATTAGCTGTGCATCAGCTGTTTGTGTTAATATCCAAGTGGCCATACTTGCAACGTTATTTCCTGGATAGTGGATTAGCAATAACACTTTATTTTGTGCCAATTCATTATCTCTGAAGTGTTCTTACTGCAGCAAAGTTTGAGTTTTGATCTGGTTTTAATGCTTTTGCATTAGCCAGAACTCTTAGCACAGATATAGACAAGAAACTGAATCCATGGAATTTCCCTGGATAAAAAACTGCTAGGGCTTCCCAAATCATTTGAAGGTGGTTACAGTTAACCATCATTTTTAAAACAAACATACAACTAAAATGTGTGTGGATATTTTTTTAACCTCCTTTTCATAACACTAGTGTATTGTAAACTGCATGAAATAAACCTGTTTTTCCCTTTTCAAGTCTGATGTCTTAAATCTTTGTTTTCTAAAACCATTAATGTTGACAGTGACAGCGTAATTTCACTGACATTCCTAGTGTAGCATTTCAGGTATAAAATGTAGTTGCATTTTTGTGCAGTGATTCAAAGCAATAATATTTTTCCTTTGGAAAGGAGAAACATCCTTGTCTGCTGTCCCAAAGACATCAGGAAAAAAAGTCATGTTTATTCAGATTTATATCCACTGGGAAATTAAGGTATTTTTCTTTGCATTTACTGTGACTGTTGCTGGTCATTCTAGTTGGAAATAGTCCCCTCTGGATATACAATCACACAAAAAACACCCATGTACCAAGTTTTAACCACTTTGCTTACGTTTTCTTTCACACAGCTCCCAAATAACCCTGCCTCACATCTCAGATCTATTTTATAATCCAGTACTTTGCTTTTTAATATAACAGCTTTTGTCTGAAAAATTAAGCTAACTGAAATTGACACTTTGTAATAAGGCCAACGTATAGCATAAGAAATGTAAACAAGAAGCCACTTAGTACATGCTTGCAGCAAAAGTTTTGAAGATAGAAGTGGGTGAAGGAAGTAAATGATTACGTACCAAGTACATTTTGGTGAAATTATTCAGGCCGTTTGACAGCTCTGCCATAATTCAGTATTAGCACTGAGAAGACCACTGGACTGCTTTTACTTTCCAAACTGCGAGTAAGAATTAAGTATGAGAAGCTAAGACCTGTGAGTTCTAAAATCTGAGAGGCTGTACAGTTACATATGAGGTGAATTTCATCTTAACAATATAATCAATTTTAATAATCAATTTTAAATGCAAAGCACATTCTAGTATTTCCTTATACATTCCGCAGCTTTGGTAAGATGGTGTCATTTTACTAAAATGATTCAAATTGCATTTGAATTTTACTAAAATAAGTATTAACATCTCTAATCGAAGTTAACAACATGTGCATCTGTTTTTATCAGACTGTCCTACTAAAAGTATTTGCACTTTACAGTCAACCAGCACTACTTTAAATCCAAATTCTTACTATACATACCTGTTGCTTCAAGTGTTTTCATCAGTTAGCAAAAGTGAGAGCATGTGTACCCTCAACCAGAAACCAGTTAATAAAGAGGACATAAACAAGTAAGCCACTAACATTCTGTTTGTATCTTTTATAACATCCAGAGTTTACTTGGAGTCAGCTTCCCTTTCAGTGGGAAGTTTCACTTAAGAAAGATGAAAATGACCATGCAAATTCACCTTTCACTGTGCTGAAGTCTTGCCTGACAGTCAGAAATGCATAGTCTGTATTTATGTGATGTTCCCCAAGTCTGGAATCTGCACAATCACATGAGATAAATCCTGTAAAGCAGTGTGTTAACAGCTTCCCCTAAAACTCATTGCTTTTGGTAATGTCACTGGAATCACTGGGAGAAGTATACAGGGGAGTACATGTTTGTCCTGGTTCTACTATGGGCATTTGCTACTGGCAAAAGATTTCTTGGCTAGAGTGATATTTAGTCTGATTTGGCATAGCCACTATAGCACTTTAACAATCCCTGCTGAAAGTTTCTATTCCAAATTAGCGCAAAGACGCCACCAGACATTCAAAATAGATTTTCACCAAGTAACATCCTAGTGAGATAGCATCCAGTGACTGTTCAATGAATCAGCCTGCAGCTGGTGTTCTCATGAAGATCTTTGAAGCTCCCCTGTTTCCCCAAGTAATTTGTGATTTCTGGGATGCTTTCTGTACACATAGCTGCTGTCTTCCATCTCTTCTCCAGCACGTAACTAGTTAAAACGAATAAAGAAATTAAGACAGATGCTGCCATAGGTGTGCATGCATTAGGAAAAGAGAAAGCTGGACAGGAGTCCACAGGCAGACAGGTATCCATTCTACATCCTTGTGATACATTATTGGCTAAAGCACAAATGTGAACAGGAACTGTTCATTCCAAGAGAACATAATTACTTTTAAATAATCTACAGAGAGAAGTTAAACGAGGACTTAATGAGAATAGGGCAAGTGGCCCAAGGGTTTGATTTGTTTCCATGAAAGTGCAATCATTGCTTTCATTCTTAAGCTTTTCTGTGATATGCCACTTTTCATATTTCTCACTGCAATAGGAAGATGCTGAAACCACCCACCTTCAAGGGAGGAATTCGAGCCTAAGGCCAGCCCTCACCAGTGGAGGTGAATCCAAAGTCATTTTCAACTCTTTCTCTGCACTTGGCAGATGTGCGATTCCGGGGACAAACTCAAGACCCATCCTGGAATGAGAGTTTTTGTTGATGAGCTATTACAAAAAGGTCTGTGAAAGCTTTGGAAGCAGTTCGTCCTTTTCCATCTCTGCTGGCAATAAGATGTTTTATATCATTAGCTAGTCAACATGGATTTGACGTTTAAACAAAGATCTTGTTATGTCAAGCAATATCCATTGCTTTGTCAGCTTAAGCCAGAAAGAATACTCACCTTCTGCATCCCTTCTGTAGGATACAAAACCAAAATAAATATAAACAAGAATATGAATTGTTCAGAGGGAAAAAAAGCCTGAAAGGAGCTTGTCCCCTTGGCTAAAAGCAGGAATGGCAACAATTGTAACACCCACTGTCTAACTTGCCTTTAAAGCCCCAAGTGATGAAGATCCCATACCCATGCTCTCCCCGTTAGGCAATCTACTGTTCTGGTATCTTTGCCAGCAGAAGGATTCTACATTGTATTGGAAGTGGTGATACAAAAAGCAAAAAGGAAATAAAAATTTAAATGGGAGTTTTAAAAGTGAAATAGAACAAAATCCAAACTAAACATCCAGCAGTGCCTAGATTCATTCTGCCAGCCTTAGGTGCCAGTTGTGACTGATCCCCAGTTGCCTGCCTGGGGTTATGAAGAACCAGAATTCCTCCAGTAGGTATTTAAATGTGCCCAAGATAATCTCAGCTGGTGCCCGCTCACTAGGAGGGATGTTGGGCAACAAGGTTCCTAAGAAGATGAACCATTTTGAACTTTAACGCTGCATAGAACCCAGCTCAATAAACCACTGCAAGGCATGGCCAAGAGCAGGTTTCAGCACTTAAATTGCTTCTGTTTCATTAAAATCAGAAAAACAGATGAGAACAGAACGTGACTCACACCACTGAAGAGTCATTCCTAAAACCCGAATAGAAACACCCCCACCCCCCAAAACCCAACGGGAAACAAGAAATTGCGAGCAGGAAGCGCTCAGATCCGCTGCTCACGTCTCGGCAGCATAAAGGCTGCACCACGGGAAACCGCGGCTGCTCCCGGGGCTTCCAGCGGCCTCCGGGCCGGCCGAGGGCGGGACGCTTGGCCCCGCCCCCTGCCCCCCTCTGATAGGCTCTCCTGCCTGCCCGTCACCTGCGAAAGCCCCGCCCAGGCAGAGGGACCCGTTCTCCAATCAGAGGCGCGGCTGGGTGCAGTGGGGGGGAAGGGACGGGGACAGGCCCAGGCCCGTGCCGCCGGAATCGCGCTAGGGCACTCCGAGGGACCGGGGCGGGTCAGGGCGCGGGGAACTCGCGGCGCCCGAGGTAAAACTTTGCTCGGTCTGCCGGCGGGGGCTGGGGGGGAAGCGGCGAGGCTGGGCAGAGCCCGGCTGCGTTCTTTCCCGCTCTCCCTGCTCAGGCATTATTATGGTCACCTCTGGGTCCTGCGCAGCGAGGATGCGTAAAGCGTGGTGGACGGGTCGGGCTTAGGGTCATACCGCGCCGGCGCAGTAGTACGGACGGGTCGGGTTGAGGGACACGCGGTACGGCCGCGCTCCGCGCCGAGGAGGGAGGGAGGGAGGGAGGGAGGGAGGGAAACTCCGGACCAGAGACAAAGGGGGGGAGCCGAGTCGGGAACATCCGGGTCATTCGCTGCCGCTTCAATCCGGGACACGCGCGAGTGCTACGGCAGATCACGGTGAGGCCTGGTCGGGCGCGGGGCCTGGGACGGTGGGGCCTGGAGCGGTTCGTAGGTGGCCCCATGGCCTGAGTGAAGGGGACGTGGGCTGGCGCTCGCTGCCTGTGTCGCGAAGGGACGGGCGGCTGCGGGGCATGCGGGCCTGGTGGCTTCTGCTGCGGCCGTGCGACGGGGCCTGCCAGCGCACTGCTGCCCGCCTGAGGCGGGCTCTGCGTCTCCCGCGGCCCGCCCCCGGAGGCCTCCGTCGCCGCGGGCCGAGCTCTCTGGGAAGGTCTGCGTACCACCGGGTCTGCGCGGAGCGGCCCCCGCCCCAACGAGTACACGCCCAGGAGCGAGCGGGCGGACGCCGGGGTGCCCTGTGTAGGCCTCGGACGTTGGCCGTGGCCTCTTCGCAGCGGCCCTCTGCGGAGGCAGGCAGGGCTCGGCCCCGCCGCGGGAACCCCCCGCACCGAGACGTATGGCTGTGCCGTTCCTATTGTTGTTCTGCGACTCGGGTAGCCGTTTGGCTGGTACCGCCTCTGTCTTTTCATGCCGCAGACAGGAAGAGACTTTCAGTCCAGAGTTAGAGCGCTCTGATTAAATGTCAGACCTTGGTATTCTCCACTCTTGGGAAAATAAAGTTTGCCTCGTTTTGGGGCAGACTACTCCAGTTGATTTTTTTTTTTTTAATTTCCCCTCCCCGTGTCAGTATTTAATCTCCAAAGTAAAAATGTGAGGCTAGGAACGTTAACGATTTTTTCCCCCTCGCTGTTCGGAATTAATAAGAGCTATTGAAAGTTTTTGAGGCTTAAAAAGCACATCGTTGGTGTGTTTAGAGACTTGTCATGGGTCAGAATTATGGGTGTGATAGCTGTTCCTGTGGAACGGGAATGCTTCTTTGCAAGACTTACCTTTTGTGTGTGGAAGTAGGTTCCCCTGTCCCCTGCCCCCCGGAAGGTATAGATGGGTAAGATGATGTCCAAGCGAACGTAGTTTATTCCTATGAGTGTGTTGGTTTGGTTTTGTTCTTTCCAAAATAGCTGGTAGTAACAGCAGCAGAGTTGAGCTACTGAGTGAATTTGGAAGTTTGTGTTAATTTTCTAATGAATTCATAGCATTAAAAGGGATGTTGCTACCTCTTAAAGCTGGGCTGTGTCAAGGAGGGATTAAAACCAAACAAAATGTGAAGACTGGTCTGTTAGGCCTGTGTAAGGTAGGCTTGGTATAGTTCCTCCAGTGCAAAAGTTTGTGTTCCTCCCAGTGACATAGCACATAATTACCTTGGGAATTCGATAGCAGTAAATTTTTAAGGTGAAGAAAACGAATTTGATGTGATTCAAAGAAAAACAAGAAACCAAAAACCCCCAAACCAACACAACTAAACCCTAAGAACTGGGGGGGGGGGGGGGGGGGGGGGGAGAGATGTTATTTGTTTGTGTCATGGTGGCATGTGCTGTGCTTATGCATTTGCTTTTAAATTGTAACTATATCAGGTTAATTGAGATTTCTTGCATTTGTTGAGGTATTTCAGAAGCTTACAAAAGCTAAAGTTCATGTACAGATATTTGGGCATGCTCCTATTCCAAAGGAGAGACATGGAAAAAAAAACAAACAAATCACGTAAATTACTAAAGAAGTTAAAAGTAGCAGTGAGAATATCATATCTTCAGCTTTAATACTCAGTTCCTGTTCCTTCATAATGTCTGAAACCAAAATACATACCGAGGTGGTCGGTCTCTGTCCTATTTCAAGCTCCAGGAGAACTAAAGTTAAATTCTTCTATTGAAGAGCTGCTAGAGAGTATGTACTAGCCATTTGTTAATGGATTGATTTGCTTGTGAGGGGATGCTTACCTAACAGGAATTTAATTTTTGAAGTGGGCTTTCAGTTGTTTTTGTCTCTAATCTGTTGTTGTTAGTAGTTTGTAGTGATGTTTTAGATGTTTGTCTGCCCTTGTCAGGGTAACCAAAATCTGTGGAGACCATATACATGAAGCCCATTGTCTCATACGCACTGAAATTTTGGATGTATCCTGTCAGTGTTTAACCAAGACAAATGTCCCAAAACTTGAAAAGGTATTCATAGAACATGGGGGGGGGGGGGGGGGGGAAGGAAGTTTAATTTACTAGGATAGAGTGTGGTGCATGAGCAGCTGCAAAGCAAGTGGGACACCTTCACCCCCTACCCGTGAAGTGGTTATTGATTGGTGATGCTCTGCAGGACACAGGTTGTTTATGTGCTCTGAGAAGTTGGCGTTCCCCCTTAGGTGCACGTCATTAATTGGCTGTTGGCCACAGGAAGTACAATTCACGTATTGGAAAGTGTCCTGTAAGGCGTGTCTTGGCAGCAGAGGCAGCTGAGTTATTGAACTATGGGAATGACATTGGAGTGGTTTATAAGCAGAAAGAGGCCCTCAGATTGTTAGGGGCAGGTTTGTGTTCGTGCAGGGAACCACCAGGTGGAAGCACCACTAAAATTCTGATGTGTGTTCAGTAGTTCATTGACATTTGTTAATGCGCATGGGCTCACAAAATCCTTAAAACTACTCCCTATATAATTTGCTTAAGGGAGAGGTCTTTTTGTTCTGGTGGTATCTTTTCAGTGACTCCACATCTGCATGTCAACAGGCTAAAATCTTAAGCGGTATGTACATGCATGGAATAGGTTAGTGCTTGGTTAATCTTTTAAGCATGAGCATCATGTTAGATGATGTGTGAGATTTTTAAAATAAGGATCTTTGTGAGCTACAGTTCATATGGTTCTAGTAATAGACTGCAATATTTTTACAGGTAATTACATGGTAATAGAACGTGAGCTTTGCTTAATTACTGGTGAGTGCTTAAATGTTTATTTTAATGGAGTGGTAACACTCATTAATTCTGTGAGTTTGTTTGGTGGAAGAATGCTACTCTCCTGGCTGTCATAAAGGCTTGCTCTCTATGTGTGGAGTTGAGAATAAATTGACCTGACTTCTCCAGCTGCCAATTATCAGCTCTTATTTAAAATGGGTGGAAGAGCAGTAGGGAGGAGGATTAAAAATCTTAGCTGGAGTTTGTTTTGGCCATGTGGCTAGTGAAACCCTAGGTTTAGATACAGTTGGATAGTGAAAAATAAACTCTTACTGTTCTGGGTGAATGGAGAATCCTCTGGGAATTTGAAGGGACCACTCTTGCAGCCATTGTGGCTAGAACTGTTCTTGTGTCATCTGTAGCAGTAATCTATGCTGTATGTGTTTCTTCTATAGTCTGAGTCACCAAGTAAGACATGCTTGGCTGTTAGTAAGGCATTGGAAGTGTAGAAAGATCATTCAGTTTATACTGGAGTTTAAAACCTGCTTTGTAGAATGAGTGAGCCAGTGGCTGTTCCTGAGTGCTCTTCTGTATTGCTGTCTACAAGTTCTGTAGTGGCATGGCTGTGAAACTGAGATGATCTTGTTAATTGCTGTGTCTTTATTGCTTTTGTGTAGAATACTGGCTTTCAACAGGAATTTTCAGTCTAAAAATAACATGCATTGTTCCCTCTGTTTGCCAGAGACAGGAGCAATACAGGTGTTTGCCTGCAGAAGACAGCTGAACTTTCTGTGGTGTAGGAAGGAGATAGGTGTTTATCAGTTGTGCAAGTAGGATGTCTGAATGATTTTCTCATTACTGATAGTGTTTCTGTTGCCAAGCTACTGTTGAAGTAGTCTCTAAGATGTGACTCAGATACAAAACACAAGGTGGGGATAGTATTTTGTAGGTCAAGACCGGTAACTAAGAGGTTGCTGATGTAGGAAACTTGATGTTATTCTTGATTTTAACTTCTGCAGGATGTGCAGAAATGCGCGTCTTGGAAACACACGTTGAAACTCCTGAAGTGAGCAGGGCTTACAGACAGATGGTACAGTGTGTTGTTTACACTATAAGGAAAAGTTTATACTAAAAGCAATTATTTTCTTTTAGAAGGACTGTGAATATGTCTGGCATAGCTCTTAGCAGACTGGCACAGGAGAGAAAAGCCTGGAGAAAAGATCATCCGTTTGTAAGTATGAGAACTGTGAAATTTCTGACTCTGCAGTTGGTTTGGAGTTCTGATGAAGATTTTTTTCATTTTCTACCCTGATGTGATTTTTTCCTATATTGCTTTTTTTCTTTTTTATTTAATAAAAAAACCCCACATTTAAAGCTATGTAGTGCAAAAAGAAATAACTGTAAAGATAAA